CTATTTGATTTTGTGTACAGAATCAATGAACTATTTTTGAACAGTCTTGAGAAAACATTAACTGGTGTCATTCTTCCCTCATGTTCCAATCACATGATTTTACTCTTTGAACACAAATGTGTAAGTGGTTATTAGTATTAAAACCCCAGTGTTTTGTAGTCCAGAAATCAGGTTTTCAAGCAATAAGCCCACAACTGCAGGCAGCAGAGTTATGGGAAGATGGCATCATCACCTCATGCCTATTATACAAGACACTGTCCCCTTTCCCGATACTTGAGATGAAGACAGCAGTGAACTGAGAGGGCCTGGGGGCAATCAACTGGGTCAACAAGAAGAGCTCAGTGACAGCAGTGCAAGTATAATGGTCCCTGAAGCCTGTCTCTCTTGCAGGTTTGTAATATCATAAGCATGTGTTTACCATAGGTGAGCACGAGGTATGTGAGGTCTTGTGGTCCGGACCCAAAATGTGTGCCCTGGGCAGGAGTGCTTCCTAGAATATGAGGCAAGAGAGTAAAAATGTAAAGTCTGTGATCACTCTACAGTTGAATTAGACAAGAACCTTATAGCATTGGGTCCTTGAAGATTTGAGACCAGATTTGTCCTCTATATTCTGTGCCTTGTTGGTAAACCCTGAGCACTAAAAAGCCTCTAGGGCAGGGCTCCTAATCTGATGTCCACAGACTCCTCGCTTTCATGAATAGATTTCAGAAGGGCCTTGTTAGTCAGGGTTCTCCAGAGAAATGGAACAAACAGGAGATATGTATGTATGTATGTATGTATGTATGTATGTATGTATGTCTATCTCTATCTATCTATCCATCTACCTATCTACTTATTATAAGGAATTGGCCTACATGATTACAGAAACTGAGAAGTCCGTAAATCTGCGTTTGACAAGCCGGAGACCCAGCAGAGCAAATGGTATAAGTTCCCGTGTAAAAGCCGACAAGTTTCAGGCCCAAGGGGAACCAGCGTTTCAGTTTGAGCTTATGGCAGGAACAAAAACAGTGTTCCAGTTAGAAGGCAGTCAGGCAAGAGGATTTATACCTTATTCAAGGGAGGGTCAGGCTTTTTGTTCCATTCAGGCCTTCACATGAGGGTTGTCCATGTTTGGGAGGGCCATCTGCTTTACTCAGCATACCAATCCGAATGTTAACCTCATCTGAAAACACCCTCACAGACATGCTCAGTACATTTGACCAAATGACTGGGTACTCCGTGGGCCAGTCAAGTTGACACATAAAATTTACCATCACAAGTCCACCCCTGGTGAACTGGTAAACTTGGCACCTATACACATCTCTGCAAACCATACTTTATCTCCAAATAAAAGCAAAACAAGCTCACAATTCTGCCTAACATGATACAACTATCCTGATACAACCCAAAACACACTAACCCCTTCCCCAGAAAAGGAGATAAAAAGATGAGTGATATTTACTCCTCTCCTTGATAGCTTGTAACTTCAGCACTATGATGTAAAATCAAGAATACTGTACTATGATATGAAGTCAATGCATCTTATGTTACATGATAATGAATTAAGAGAGGACAAAAACAAAGATATTTATGCATGCACACATGCAAAATAGGGAGAAAATGGTCATAATTGCAATCCTCATTTCTGTAACTGGTCACATGGTCATATATAGCTGGTAATTATAACTTTCTTCCATTTTATATTTCTTCCATTATTATAGTTACACAAGGTCTGACAATTAAGTTGGCGAACTCATCCTAGAAAAAACGCTACATACCTCATTGCTGAATATCGCTATGGTCACCTTTGAAGTACTCCCCTTGGGAAGCTATGCACTGGCACGAGCACCTAGTCCACCCTTCAAACCAATTTTGGAACTCTTTTTCTGGAATGGCCACCAGAACTGTCGTCATATTACCCTTGATGTCCTGAATGTCATCAAAACGTCTTCCTTTCAATATTTCCTTTATCTTCGGGTAAAGAAAGAAGACATTGCAGGTTAGATCAGGTGACTAGAGAGGGTGTTCCAATACAGTTATTTGTTTACTGGCTAGAAACTCCATCACAGTGCCATGTCAGCTGGTGCATTGTCATGATGCAAGAGCCATGAATTGTTGCCGAAAAGTTCAGGTCGTCTAACTTTTTCACACAGCCTCTTCAGCACTTCCAAATAGTAAACTTGGTTAACTGTCCAGTTGGTACAAATTCATAACTCTGATATCAGAAAAGGTTAGCAACATCGTTGCAACAAGTTCGCAAACTTAATTGTCAGACTTCGTATAATTTCTTTCATTACCCATTCTGTATCCCCATTGCCTTCAGCAAGCACCTCAGCTGGTTGTGGTCCTTTACCTGGTGTGGTGACTCAAACCTTCATTCCTGAAGTGTCTAGGTCATTCCTAGTAATGCCTACTTGGGGCTAAATTTATTTTATTGGCCTTAATCACAGGACACCTTAAATAATCTCTAGTATCCCAGACCCACTCTTCCTAACTTCCATTGTTGGTTTGCAGTGCAATTTCCCCTTGCTAGTTAGGATCAATTTACTCAGCAGCACCATAACGCCCTTTGTTTTTGGCTGACTAGGGTCATAAGGAACCCAAAGTAGCTGAGAGGCCATCTTAAATTCTATGTCAATGGAATCATTTTCAAATCTCCTGGTAGAAGCATTCTTCCTTCTAGAATTAAGACTTTTAAGCAAAGCATAAGGTTGTGTAAATGGGAAGCAACAATTTTCCTACTGGGCCACTAGTGGTAATAGTGAGGCTGTCACTCCAATTTCCATCCCTTCATTTCTGGACCCTTGAATCCTGGCTATTGTAGACACATCGCCATATTGGATGCTGATGTAGACCATATACAGCCTCCTAAAGAACCTTGCCTCAGTCCTGCTAGGTACTGCCACTTCGCTGACACTGGAACTGAGTCTTCGAAAGGCCATTTCACCATTCTATCAAGCCAGCTGCTTTGGCTAATAGAGAACATGGTAAGACCAGTGGATTCATGAGCATAAGACCGCTGCTGCACTTCATTTGCTGTGAAGCGAGGTCCTTGAACAGAAGCCATGCCATGTGGAATACCATGATTGTGAAGAAGGCAAAGGCATTTGGGAAGTCCATAGACAGTAATTTTGGCAGAAGTAGTATATGAAGGGAAAGCACGTTTTCATCCAGAGTTAAGTATCTATTGCAAGAAAAATAAAATCCTGTCCCTTTCATGATGACATTATTCCAATGAAATCAATTTGTCACCCAGTATCTGACGTATCACCCTGGAGAATGGTGTCATACCAGAGACTCAGTGATGGTGTATGCTGCTATTTGGGCACTCAGCAGTGGGCATCATCAGGCTGGCCTTGGTGAGCGGAAGTCCACGTCTCTGAGCTCATACATAACCTCCATCCTTGCTACCACCACCACTTTTTTCATGAGCCCATTGAGTGATGACAGGGGTAGCAGGGGAAAGAGGCTGACTGGTATCCAAAGAACGAGTCATACCACCCACTTAGTTATTAAAATCCCCCTCTGCTGAGGTCACCCTTTGATGAGCATTTTTATTGGATATAAATATCTTCACATCTTTTGCTCATTTAGGGAGGATTATTCACATACTAATTCCTCAAATTTATTTGTCACCAATTTTACAATCATGATCCTTTGAAGTTTCTGATCATCCTGCCAAATCATCAGCCACAGCTCATGAATCAGAACATAATCACATGTCTGGGCATTTCTTCTATCAAACAAAGAAGATAACTACCTCATGCACAGCTAGGAGTCTGTCCATCTGGAAGATTTCCCTTCACCACTGTTCTTCGGAGACGTCCAAGAAAGTGCTGAAATGATCCACATTCCAGTGGTGTCTGCATATCTTGCTGAACAATTTTTAAACCAGGCCAGCACCTTCTCTTGCTGTATCGATTGTAGGGCACTTTCCATGAGGCTATAGGTGAAGACTGGGAGAGGGAAGGAGGGAGTGGGGCCATAGACATTTGGGCCACTTCCTACTGGAGCTTGCGTAACTTACTTGATCTTTCGGGGCCTACTAACACCTGATCCTGCACATACCACTTCCACTGGATGAGGAAGTGTTGCTGTGCATTCCTAAATTTATGGCTTGGTGGGTCAGATAACACCCAGGAATGATGGATAGCTCAAGCCGCACTGTAATTTGATGACTCATGGTTAAACGTTCAGTAACAGGCCAAGACCTGTTTCTTAAAAGGGGAGTAGGGCTTTGCTCCCAAATCCTAAGGATCTGTGCTGTGAATCACCTATAGGGCCCTGCTGGAAGCTTCAAACAGCATCCCTGTCTGTCACTGACACATCAGACACCATTGGATATGACCTATGTAGCTTTGCAGCTTGCACAGCAGCCTGTTGCACAAATCTTTTTTTTTTTTTCTGGTCCTCACTCAAAACTGGCAGTGTTTTGATTCACTCAGTAAATAGGCTTGAGTAGCACATCCAAATGAGGAATATGTTGCCTCTGAAATAATAGATACTTAGAAAGCATTGTAATTTTTCTTTTTTTTTGGGGGGGGGGCAAAGTGCAACAACCACTTCTTCACTTTAGAAAGGATATCTTGACATGCCCCAGACCACTGGGCGCTTAGAAATTGTACTGAGGTGGAAGACCCTTGAATTTTTTTTTTTAAGATTTTTATTGGGGAATTGGGGGATGGGAACAGCACTGGGGAATTGGGGGAAGGGGAACAGACAAGTTGCTGTCCTTTTGTTCTTCAGTCTAGTTGTGGAGGGCGTTGCTTCACTAGCCCAAGTTGACACCATCACTGCGTTCTTCCTGGGCGAGACAGATCAGTCACCGGCTTCTGGACGGCCGCTCACAGCGGCTGCTGGCTACACAGGGTAGCCCGTGGCAACCCACTGCAGCCTACGCCATCGCCGGCGACTCACAGCAGCCCAGCTCCAGGTCGAGCTGTTGTTCAGCATCTTAGCTGTGGAGGGCAGTGTCACTGGCCCTCATATGTGGGATCCGAACCGGGGCCCTCATAGCATCCCAAGTGAGCTCTTAACCAACGCGCCACTCGGCTGACCCGTCCCTTGAATTTTTGTCTGATTTATTTCCCGCCTCCTGACACATACAAGTAAATGTCTTACCAGTAAGTCTGGAGTAGTTGCTATGTCTTGCCCACTAGATCCATAATCATAATGCTATCATTGTAATGCGCCAGTGTGACATATTGTAGAAGGAAATGGTAATCATAATCCATGCAGACTAAATTATGACATTGGGCTGAAGGATTGATATGCCTCTTAGACAGTGAAGGTGCATTGCAGGTATTGCCATCTGAAAGCAAACTGCTTCTGGTTGGTCTCATTGACAGACATAGAGAAAATGGCATTTGTCCAGATCAATAGCTACAAACCAGTACCAGGGGATGCGTTTCTGTGCTCAAGCCATGCAAAAACATCTGCCCCATTACTGCAGTCGGAGTCACCACTTTAGTTGGATTCATGATAATCCACTGTCATCTTCCAGAATCCATCTGTTTTTTTGCCAAGGCCAAACAGGAGACTTAAATAAGGGTGTTTTGGGAATCACCATTCTTGCATCTTTCAAGTCTTTCATGGTGGCACTAATTTCTGCAATCTCTCCAAGGATGTGATATTGCCTTTGGTTTACTATTTTAAAGGTTTGCTGCCTCCTGTTGTAAGTGTAGGGGGGTTCAAATGAGGGAAATGAGAGAAAGTCAGGGATGGGGTGTTAGCTACTTTCTACTGACTATTCAGAGAATACTTTTTGATGGTGACATTAAAACAAACACCTGAAAAACAAAAACAAAACAAAAACGAGGAAGTTGGAGGAAGGGCTGGGGGAAGGCAGAGGGAATAGCGAGTACAAAAGGCCTAAGGCAGTCAAGAGTTTAGTGGGTTCTAAAAAACAGACCAAAAAGAAGGAATAATGGGGCTGGTGTCAAAGTTTGAGCGAGGAGATCTGGAGCAGATGATGCCCAAGGGGATCTGATCGTACAGGTAGACTTGGCTTTACAGATCTTGGCAAGAAAATTTAGTTTTGGCCGAGTGTGTTTAAGCAAGTGGATTAGGTTTTAGGAATTTCCCCCTTTGACTGTTCAGACAGAGGGACCAGATATGGTGCTTGGACTGGGGTTGTCGAGGCGCCATTCCTTTGCGAGCTTTGGGCAAGAATACAAATAGTCTCACATTCCTTCGTAAATATTGGAAGTGTACGATGAAAGCTAACAAATGAGGACAGTAGACGCCTACTTTCACAAATACACCTTTATGACCGCCTGGAAGACTGCATTCTTGATTCCTTGGCATTTGATGTTGCTTTCCCCTCCCCTTCCCAACTCTGGCAGTCCTGCATGCAAGTCTCACACCAACAGACACCCCAGGACTCCCATTTTCATTCCAGCCACTCTCGCAGGCCTGGGGTGTGACAGGAAAATAATTCAAGGCACAAGTCATAATTTAAGTAACACCATAATTGCAATTCTCCAATCACCCAGCATTGTTACTGCAGTGAGGCCAGCCTTGCAACCAGCCCAGGTTCAGTGTGATCTTGGAGTTCCTGTTAAATATAGACCACGGATGGAATTTTGTACTCCTTTCCCAAAGAATATTCTGCCACCTTCAGGGCTAGCCAGGAGCAAAGTCAGTATCTTCCTCCAGCCTTCTCTGCATCAAAACCACAGTCTGCATTGGAGAGCACACAGTTACTTGGACAAAAGCTGCCTCCCGGGACACCAGACTGGGCCTGACACCAGGCCTTCCTGCGCCATCTTGTGGTGAAAAGTGAGAACACGCCGATCACCAAGGTGGGGAGAGATGCCAGAAATTTTGTGATGTAATTCTATATCAAATTTGGTTGTGTTCAGATTCTCCAAGGTTCTTAGTGATCAGGACAAAGGATATCCTACAGGAAGGATGTAGGTAATTGCAGCCTTCAGGAGATTTATGAGTTTGTTATACCAGCTTGGTTGGTAGTTAGTGGGAAAGGCAACAGCTCACCTGGAAGAAATCAGCGTCTCCCAGGATTTAGAACTGGAAGCAACGGTCTGGTCAGGTCAGAGGTCACACTGAGACATATAGACAGGTGCTTACCTGTGAAACACTCTTGCATGGGTCACCCCTGAGTCAAATCATTTATACAACAACTCTTATTTGTGCATCCTGGCTGAGCCAAGTTCTGGGGATACCATGGCTTTTCCCTCGCGTTGTCTCCTAGTGTAGAAGGGAAAAGCATCACACAATTACCCTGCAGTTCGCTGGGGTCATGATGGAGAACCATGCATGTGGCCTGAACTTACCGGGGAGGAAACTTCTGCAAGAGATCACAGCAAGGCAGTTTTCATGGAATGCATGAAAGTTAACAGGCAAAGCAAGAGGGGTCATCCTGGGTAGGAGAGAAAGAACCCACCTCAGACTCCGTGCCTCAACTCCAACAGGTCCTTGTTAATGAGCTGGGAGCAGGGACAGAAGGTAGAAACAGGGTGGCATGATCGGTGACCCACTATGTCAACCTACAGGTAGGTTCTCTGGATGCACAGAGCATCTTGCCAACACCATCCCATCAAAAGCACTCATATTGGATTATATTTGATGTCAGAGTGTTCACATGTCTGTATCTCCCCAAGACCATGGATCTGGGGCAGGACTAGACCTTCCCATTCCCAGCACTGTGCTTAGCACACAGGAGGCTCTTCAAAAATGTTTGCTGATGAGTGAATGGATGAATGAATATGTGAATTGTGAATTGTTCAGTGTTGAAGAGACTCCTGCTTCTCCCCAAGAAAGAAAAAAGAAGACAGCCGGCCGAGTGGCTCATTGGTTAAGAGTTGGCTTGGGAGCACGAGCTCTGGGCAGCAGGGCCGCCGGTTCAGATCCCACATGGGCCAGTAACACTGCACCCTCTACAGCTAAAATGGTGAACAACAGCTCAACCTGGAGCTGGGCTGCCGTAAGTCGCCTACAACGCCATAGGCTGCAGTGGGGCTGCCGTGGGCTGCCATAAGCTACCTTGAGTGGCCATCCAATGGCCGGCGACCGATCTGCCTCAGCTGGGAAGAGTGTAATGATCACAATACCAACATGGGCCAGTGAAGCGACGTCCTCTACTACTAGACTGAAGAACAAAAAGACAACAACTTGTCTGTTCCCCTCCCCCGATTCCCCAACGCTGCTCCCTCCCCTAATTCCCCAGTAGAAAATCTAAAATAGGGCCGGCCGAGTGGCTCAGTTGGTTAAGAGCTTATGCAAGAGTGTGAGCTCTGAGCAACAGCGGTTCGAGTCCAGCCCGAGCTGAGTTGCCGCTGAGCTGCCAACAGGTGGCAGGATGGCTCAACTAAAAAAAATAAATAAATAAATCTAAAAATTTAAAAATAAATAAATTTTAAAAAGAAAAAAGAAGAAAGTGGAAAGGTTATCATGTCCCCAGGCCCCCTCCCTAGCATTCAGCTTTGTACCTCGTGATGCCCTTCTCATCATCTTGTACATCACAGTGCGGTAAAGGAACCAGTCCCTCCACACAAGGAAAGGAGGTGCCCCTGGTCAGTCTAACAGGGCTGACCCAGTTTCATTTTTAAAGTGACTGCTTTACAGGAATTGCTCCACCCAATTCTTTATACGTCAAAGGCAAGGGAAATCCGCAAATCTGTAGAGACAGAACCGATTGGTGGTTGTGGAGCATGGGCGGACAGGGGAGTGGGAAGTGACTGCTACTGGGTTCGGGGTTTCCTATAAGTGTGATGAAAATGCTCTGAAACTAGATAGTAGTGCTGGTTGTATACCATTATAAAAGTACTAACAGCCTCTGATTTGTACACTTTAAATAGTTATTAATAAAACGGTAAAAATTACGTTACGTGCATTTTACATTAATTTTTAACAAGTAATAAGGACACAACAAAATGTTTCTGCAACACTGGCAAAAATCAGAGACCGGGAGGGATGCAGCCTGGGGGATCTGAACAGTGAGAATCAGCATTTGCAATGTGCTCAGAGCCTTCTCTTTCTGTGACTAACAGGCCCTCTTTCATCCCTGCTCAGGATATGCACCACGGACTCTTCACCCAACAACCATGCCCACATAGAGCCTCCAGCTGAGAATCAACCAAAGCTGTCGGGCCACTCAGGTCTGCAAACCACCCTGCTGGACTCTCTCAAGCGCAGGCTGCTGAGGAGCTTCTTCAGAAGACGCCACCCAGACTCCCTCCCCCAGTTCCACCAGTTCCACGCCTTCTCCCCTGGCTTCCAAACCGGCAGGTTGACGCCTCCACCCCAGCCCCTGCCCCTCTAGTGGGTGCTTGCTTTTGCGCGCCCATGTCAAGGTTGGAGATTAGTGGTGGCTTTATTACGGTCACCTGATCCTGAAACTGACCAGATCCCACCGCCTTGGTGGCTTTCAGGTGTGGTCTAGCAAGGCTGTGGGCCTTGTGTCCACCCACCATTAATCAGCAACTACAAACTGCCTCAGCGATGGCAAAGAGAGGGCCTCAGTGAAATCACGGTCCCAGACACAAAGGTCCATAGTCACAAATGTGCAAATAGCAGAGTTGTGTTGTGTTCTACCCAGGGACTTAGCCCTAGAGCTCGGACTAACACAGGTTCAGTATTGCGCAGATCAAACATTGCCTTCTAGGATGGGGCCTCACGCCATGCTTTCTTCTTGGAATGCTGCGGGCACACCCAGAGATTCCCGCACACAGAGCACCAAAAATGATTCATGTGGAGGTATCATGCCTGGGCATCTCAAAGTTTGGTGGAGGTTTTGAAAGGCAACTTAATGATTTTCACAGTTAATCACATGGCCTCTCATTGTGATGTAGGTTACGCTGTCTTCTCCCTCCTCTCACGACACAATTATTGGTGGGTTCACACCCAGAAATGCAGGGTTCCCTGTCCTTCCCCAGGGAGAAACACCCGCAGTGAGCATGAGGAGATCGTGCAATCTGGGGTGTTATTTCTCCTGAGCCCCCTTTAGAGTGAGGGAATTACACCTTGTGAAGATAAAAATGGAGACCTTCCAAGTGTTTCTGGAACAATGTCAATTTTGAAGCTTTGTGCCTTGGATTTGTTTTCTGTACAGGATATTACAAAGGTGTCGTATCTATTCCCTAGTTGAAAAGAAATGTAGTTTGTGCTGCTATGGAATTCCTCTCTCCTCGAGGAGGGATGTCTGGGGAGCACTGAGGGGCAGGGACAGCAATAGAATAGTATTTGAGGAAGTAATAATAACCAACATGGATTTATATTTAGTATAATTATAATGTTGTTAACACATGCTGCTAATATGTGACACCTCATTTCATCCACAGGAAAGCCTTACAGGGTATTTCTAGCACCATTTAACTGAAACCTTGAGGGGTCAGGTAGGCTGCCCAGAGTCACACAGCTGCAAGTCATGAAGTGTCTGGCTCCTGAGCCAGTGCTTATTAATGATGCTTGTAACCTCATCTGAGTAAGGGCATTGTCATGCGCACGTTCTCCAGTTTCCACTGTCATTTTGGCTCAGCTTGGGGATATGAGATGGGTTGCACCTTCTCTGAAGCCAACAGCTTTTCAGATGTAATGATTAGGCTCAGCTTATGTGTGTGGACCAGGCCAGTGTTTCTAGTTCCAGGTCAGCTTCTCTAGCAGTTCCTGGTGTCAACCCTAGAGGGTGTCAGTTCCCCAGCTCTTTCTTGCTGTGGGTTAAGGTAACTAGGGTCTGAACCACTGTTGCAGGGATAGGATGGGAAAGAGACTCTGTGTGTGTGTGTGTGTGTGTGTGTGTGTGTGTGTGTGTGTGTGTGTGTGTGAAAGAGAGAGAGACTGAGAGAGGCAAAGAAAGACAAGATCTATCCAGATGCGTAATCTGAAATTTTTATAAATCTCATTGGATATGAAGATTATGCCACAGGAGCCCTTGAGCTAAACTGAAGGAGCCACACTTCAAGTGGCATATGGCTTCGCCTGAAGGAAGAGATTTTATCTACTGCTCAGGCTTTACCTCTTAGAGTAATAGCCCCATTCATCTTCCTTATGGCCTATTTTCTGCATCTGCAAGAATCTGGAAGTAGATTCTTGCTAAAATGTGACTCAGGATGGCCAGATTATCAGCAAGTCTCACTGTGTGTAATTAAGTCCTTCAACCAGTGCTTAGAGAGAATTTAGTCACGGGGCTCAGTGACAGAAGATTCTCTCGAGGACGATGCACGCTGTCTACCACACGAGCCACCCCAGCTGCAACAGGCACAGGGTCTCAGCAAGTCTCCTGGGGAGGCTGATTCTCTTGTTCTCTCTCCACCCTTAGTTCAGAGCCACCTTCCCCAGCCCAACCCTCAACTTTCTATGACAAGGTAACTCATTATGGGGACCAGCTTCTCCAAAAGGACTGTTAGGAGGTAAACATTGCTCTTTCTTATTTTCCATGAAACTTAGTTCTTTAGGATCTCTCAGATTCCCTGTGATCTCAGAGGACGGTGGCTTTGCTACCAGAAGGAACTGAAAGGAGAAAACCTTAAAAATGTATCCCCTTGTCCCGGAGCTAATGTCATCGTTCTCTCAGGAAGCACAGCTCTGCTGTCACTTGCCTAAAAGTCCACTGGGGGGGGGGGGCAGCCAAGTGGTACGTTGGTTAAGAGCTGGCTTGGGACGCCAGAGGGCCCTGGTTTGGATCCCACATATGAGGGCCAGTGACACTGCCCTCTACAGCTAAGATGCTGAACAACAGGTCAACCTGGAGCTGAGCTGCCATGAGTCGCTGTTGATGGCGTAGGCTGCAGCCCCTGCTGCAGTGGGTTGCCATGGGCTACCGTGTGTAACCAGCAGCCAGCGTGAGTGGCCAGCAGCCGGCGATTGATCTGCCTCGCCCGGGAAGAGCGCAATGATGGTGCCAACTTGGGCCAGTGAAGCAACGTCCTCCACAACTAGACTGAAGAACAAAAGGACAGCAACTTGTCTGTTCCCCTTCCCCCAATTCCCCAGCACTGTTCCCATCCCTCCAATTCCCCAATAAAAATCTTTTTTAAAAAAGACAGCAACGTGTCTGTTCCCCTTTCCCTTATTCCGCAGCGCTGTTCCCATCCCCAAATTCCCCAATAAAAATCTTAAAAAAAAAAAAAAAGTCCACTTGGGGATTTGCAAACTGAAGAAAGTAACAGATGCCAGAAAGACCTGAGAGAAGGGGACACCAAGATATTGTCCAGCTGACAAAGTTGCTGCTCCTTGCAGAGACAGAAACAAAACTAGGCAGAAGCAAGAAAGGGTGGAAAGGGTGTGATGAACATGGTTTGTGCTCATCTGTGTTCTAGGTGCTACACCCTTATTGTCTCATTGGGTTCTCACAACTTTGTGAGGTCATGTCACAAATGTGTCAGAGAAAAGCAACCCGAGGCTTAGAGACATAAGGTGTGTCTGCCTAAGGCAGAGGTGAAGCCCAGCCGACTTGTCAGCTGCAATGTTCTGTGCAGTGTGAGGGAGGGGAAGAACAATTGAATTAACTGCCAACATTTAAAAATTAAGAGATTTTACCAAACTTTGGCTACTTGTCTTCTTGTGAAAAAGTGGAAATTCTGGCCACACTGGATTCACATTCCTACCTGGTGCTGGTTAGTGAGGAGGAGGTCCACTGCCCCCTACGGAGGCCACAGTCTCCGCATTTCACCCCATCTCCATCCAGCCCCCTAACTCCAAGAGTCCAATAGACCAGGAGAGAGCGCTCTGAAGCAGACTCTCCACCCCCATGGATGAAATTTTGCCTTGTGACAGAAATGACATTGCACTGGAGTGTGTGACCTCAGAGCTAATGGCACCCATAGTTATTGTCAGAGGTGAAATTCAGTCCCAGATCTGTCTGTCTAAAGCCAGGCGGCCTCCCGGAGGGCCTACGCAATCATGAAAGAGATGGGAAACCCACAGAGGCCCGCGTTGCTTAATGCCCAGGTGGTTGTCCGCTCCTAGGGGCGGGTAAAATTTCACCCAAACAGTCCCTGGAAGGGACAGGACTCACCTGCAGTTAAATCTAAACCTACCTGAGGCCCGGGAAAAGCCAGGAGCTCTGCCTGCAGGTGCTGTAGCAGGCTCTTCACCTGCCCAGTGGTGTGGGGAAAGCTGGCCCTGGGCTGAGGGAGCCACTGCCAGGAGGCAGGAGCATGTGAGGTTTGGACATCTCCCCCGTCCCTTCCCCCCCAGGCCTAGACCAGGCAGCTCACCTGTCACTTCCTGGCCCTCGCAAAACAGCATTTAGGGAGTCCAGGGAAAAGCAGAGCATGGCACTGTGGCAGTGGGCCCTAGATAAAGGTCTTCCCAGACCATGTGGTCATTAAGGATTTTGCACGAGCTTCAGACAAACACATTCTTGGACTGTGTGGTCAGCAAAACTTTCGCATTTAACATTTCCGAATTCCTACCTCACCCAGGAGCCAGTCAGGAACTGGCACAAGGCCACATGTCCTAATAAGGAACCTTAGCAGCTAACCCGGAAACCTCAGGTATATAGCCCTGAGTCCCACCCGGGTCGGAGCTCAGCCTCTGGATGTGAATCCGCTGAGCCAGTGCCAGCATTAGTAAAAGTTGCTTCCCATGCCTTGGTGTCCTGTCTCTTTGTCTGGGATCCCCGCAACAGCACAAATATGGGGCACCATGAGGGCCACCGGGGGTGACCGGGCTGGGGGAGGGAGGTAGGTTCTAGGGGTCTCACAAGCGGGAGGGGAATGGATGTTGCAGAATAAATAGTGCTTTTTTGTTAGACCCCTGAGGAAAGGGCACACTGGAGCATGGCCTCCAGGGAAGAAAGTTTGTTTTTGAAAACAGCAGCACGGTCACTTCACATAGGCACTGCTAGTGCCTGGGGGTCATGCATTTCTATCTCCCAGGCCAGCGCTCGCTGAGCACACTTACGACCTCTGCTAGAATGGTCAGACCCTTTTCCTCTCTCCATGAGCAATGTTCACATGGGCACATTTACATCACTCAGACAGCAGGAAGCTTGTTTGCTTTAAGAAACTTGGCCTTTTGTATTGCCACCTCCTACCAATGCTGAATAATACTAAAAGCTGAGCCACCAGCCAGAAGGGACCCGGTGGTGTGGGTGAGCAAGGCCACCCCTGCCTGCTGCTGCCCAGGACACCTGGTGGTCTACCCCACACTGAGGTTCAGCTCTTCATTCTGTTCTGCGGGGAGCTGTTTCATGATCACATATTCCTGCCACAAAGACCCAATTCCGAGCAATTCCTTGAGAGCCACTTCTCACTTTCTTTGTACACACTAGAGTTGTGGTCACTTTTGTTGGGTGCAAAATAAAATGCCTCCTTTGCCAGCTGCTGTGCCTTTACCCAGTGGGTACATAATTCATAAGCAGAACAAGCTCCTTCACTCTCTAGTTCCATCAAGAATGGAAACAAAGGGGCCATACTGACTGAAAGCATTATCTTAACAGCATGAAATAAACTTCTTTTCTTCCTTTTTTTTTTTACAACAAAAGCAGCTTTCCCCTGGAAAATACAAAGCTCAGCAGTCAATTTTCTTTCAAAAAGCATATACTAATCAAATAAATTGGGCTTAATACCTCTAAGGGTACCACCACTTTGCCTCTTTCTTTCTCATTCTTTTTCATGTTTTTGTCTTAAGCACTCTCAGAAATAAGAGATTTCCTGTCTGTGTGAATTGCAGGAGTTTCTCTCCTGAGCCATTTCTGTGGTGTTGCTGCATTCAGAGGACTTTCTTTAGTCTTGCAAATCCCCCTGGTCAGAAGTTTGAACTCCCCTCACCAGGAAAGCAGGGACAATTCGGAGGAAGATCTGAGAAGCTGCCAAGTGCATTCTGTGGTGGGTCCTGATCCACTTCTGAGCAACCTTCCTCAAGGCCCAGGAAAGAGGCTCATTCTTTTGTGGGCTGGGCCTGGGGCCTTCTAAGATCACACTGCACAGCAGGTATGGGGCCTCAAGTCTGTGGACAGGTTGCACATCCACCTGGAGAGAGAGCCTGGGGAGGAGAGACAGCCAGGAAGGAGGACACGCCTCTGAAACAGTTCTCTCTCTGCCCCTAGCCTATGGCTGCAGCCGAAACACCCACTCCTAGTTGTCCTGGCAGCCACGCACTCCAACATCCTGAACATTCCTGGTCCACCTGGAGGCAAGTTTGGATATGATAAAGATACACCTTTGCTGAGAGATCAGGAACAGAAGAGACTGCTGCCGGGTAGGGCAGTACACCAAAGTCACGTGAACCAGAGAGAAAGGAATTAAAGAAATTAAAGGTGGAGATAGGGAGATGGAAATTTTAAAAAACAGTGGAGAGACAAAACAAATAAATCAATAAAATTAATAAATGTTACCAAGTTCTTTTCAATTTTACAAGTTGTTTTTTTTACAAATTTAATTAAATTTCTTAAAACTTTTAAATTAAAGTCACATCTAAAAATTAATTCCAAATTTAAATCAAAATTACAAAACTAATCTGGTAGATTTCCTAATGTCAAATTCTCTTAAACATTAAGGACATTTGAGATATGTAATGCACATTATCCTGAATGATTATGAAATGTATTCTTAAATTTAACATAAAATCATACATATTTTGGGTCGATGACTTCATCATTTCTGCATTTCTATCTTTACCTTCAAGGCTGCAGTCATCTACCCAACTCAGAACAGTTTAATTATGTCAGACAAACTAAGAATTTCTAAATCAAAACATCAAGGCTCAGATTCAGGGTGAAAAATTCAAGACTGAGATTTGGGAACAGGCTGACTCTTTTCTTGTGGTTAAGCCCTATCTGCTTTGTCAACAGAGTCCCCAAGTTAACCCCTTTCAGTGAGAATTTGTCTTATTATTCCATTATCTGATTGTTTGCTTATGAATAGGTTCAGGTTAAGTCTTTTTGTTGAGACTACTACATGGATGGTGATGTACGTTTCCCATTGCATCCCATCAGGAGCATATTATGTCATTTTGGCTCAAAAAAAATTAAAGCTCTCTTTTCCTTGGTTGCCTTATTGTTGTATTTTTTATTTTTATGAAAGCAATGAATGCACATGATAAGAAATCAAACAGAAGTAACTAGTACAGGAGAAAAAGCACCAGTCTTTGAAGTTATTTCCTTACCTCCTGGTTCCACTGCCCAAAGATAACTCCTTTTAGTGGTTTTATGTATTTTTCAGCTTTATTGAGATGTAGTTGACAAATAAAATTGTGAGAAATTTAAAGTATGCATGGTATTGATGAAATTTGCAGATTCTCAATTGTTTTAGTTGTTTCACCTTTCAATTATTTTGATGATTATCATCATACCACTGATCACTATTTCTGGAATATGAGTTGCAACCCACTAGTGGGTCATGAAATTCATTTAGGGGGTCCTGACCAAATCTTTTTAAAGTGGAATGGAGGAGAGTAGAATGGTGTGGAATGTAATGGAAAATATGAGTGCATTTCATGTTAAGTAGTTTTGTAAAACTTTTGTTTCATTTGTAGTAAGCATGGATGTGCACAGGGTCAAAATGTGAAAATGCATATATATATATGTATATATATATATATATATATATATATATATATATATATATATATTAGTTTCTGTCAAAAAATGTTTGAACCTGCAGCTCTACATAATATGCTAGTAATTCAGTCTCATTTTCTAAACAAAAGACACTTATCTGTTATCTTCCTGATATGCAAAATAAGGCTTCTACTAATAGTTTTAGATCTTAGTGTAACTTTTGCCCTTATCTCTCTATTCTTACTCCATCAATTACAACAGCATTGCTTCTCCCAACTTGTAAGGTGAACGCATTAAGCCTTACCTTTCCTGCATTAGGAAAGCTGTGTTTCTGCTCCTTCCTAGAATCCAACGCACCTGTCTGCATGACTCTAAGCACAGGATGTCCCCGGGCCTCTGCCTTTCATTGTTCAGCAAACAGCAGGAAGGGAGGGGCCTCTGCAAAGTCACCAAAACTTCCTGGCCTCCAACCAGCCTTTAGGGCCAGTAGGAGCCTGGCCCTGCCCTAGAAACACCTGGTGAGACTGTGTCACACTGATGAGGCTATGGCTCTTCCCTTAGGTTTGGAAATGATCTTCACATTTCAAATAAGCTGTTTGTTCTGGATGCTGGGGCCTCTGGGTCTAAGGACATGAAGGTACTTGAAAATCACCTGCAGGAAATACGGAGCCAGGGTGTTCCGGTGAGTATATCTGGGGATAGCTGGAACTCAACCTTTGCCCAGCCCATCCAGTGACCCTGTTAGTTGATCTCTTTGTCCTGCCCTCTTGGTTTGGTTCCATTTTCAGTGACCCAGTACAAGGTGGCTGCAAAGACATGTTTTTATCCTATTGGTTTGGGATGAGGTAGGTAAAGTAGAGAAACAAGGAGGTGGCCATGAGATAGAATTGTTACGGGCAAAGTGAACACCTAAGAGTGTATGAAATTCCAGACAGTTTAGTGGTTTGTTTAAAGTGAACTTGTGGCACCAGCCGGGTGGCTCAGTTGGTTAGAGTCTGAGCTCTGAGCAATAGGGTAGCCAGTTCGAGTCCCACATGGGCAAGTGAACTGCACCCTCTGCAACTAGATTGAAGACAATGACTTGAGCTGAGCTTCCAGTGGGTGGCCAGAAAGTTAAAAATAATAATAATAAATAAAGTGAATTTGCCTTTTACAAATTACAAAAGCAATTCAAAAGTGATTTGTTGTGAAATATTTAGAAAATATTTTCTACTTGCAAACAAGTAGGAAAAAAAATCACCAACAAAATTTATTGAAGGGAACATAAAATAATAAATGAACAAATGGAATGAGACTGATCTTGAATGGCAATGTCTTACTAAATGTTTAATTTTCCCAAGTTATATAAATTTAATACAGTTCCAGTTAGCGTATGAATGAGACTGAGAACACTTTTTTAGAAACTATATATTTCAATGGAAGAATAAACGAAACATAATAAAGGTTCTGTAATCAATCAATCAATCAATTTTAAAAATCAGTCAATAAGTGGAATAGATCAGAATGTATAGAAGTAAATCACATGCACTGAAATATAATAGAAAACAAAGACGTTATTTCAACTTATTAGGGAAAATGTTTATTTAATAAAGGATGTAGTACAGCTGGCTATTTGCCTAGAAAGAACTAAGGTTGAACTCCTACTCACTATGTAACCCAAAAATAAATTATAGGCAGATTAAAACTTTTAATGTAAAAAAAAAAAACACCCCAATATCTTGAATGGCCCTTTATGAGAATGTGTTTTAAAAATAACTTTGGACTACACTGGGAAACCTTTTAAACCAAGATAGAAAACCCCATAAGTTTTCTGAGAAAATATCCCTATTTGACAACATAAAAGTTAAAAAAAAAAAATCTGGCCAACTAGTTGCATAAGCAAAGTTAGAAGTTGAGATAGATTGGGAAAAAATATTCTCAATGCTTTTGACACATAAAAGACTACTATCCACAGTATTCAAAAAGCTATCTGAACTTGGAATAAAAGTGGCAAATATCTCAATGTAAAAATACTAAGATGCCCCCTGGAATGTTCCTGCTGCCCCAGCCTGAGTGTAAATGTGGAGGATGTCCTCTCCCCAGTGCCAGGCAGTTGCCTCCTCTAGTTAGAGTTTACTGCTTCCCTGATGGGAAATGTGGCATTTCCCAGCAGGCTCAGGTTCCAGATGAGCTGTTGGAACTTTCAGGAACCCTTTCCTCTCTCATGAAGCCCTGCCTTTACTTTCTGATTGGGGCCTCAATGTGGCACAGTCAGCAGTGGGGGTAGTCTGGCTGGTCTCAGAAGAACCTGGTCACAGAAACCAGTGGTCAGCAATCAAGAACAGTGATCTGTGAGGGGTTCCCATTGCTCCTGCCAGGTGGGACTAGGGGCTGTGCTCCCCGGGCTATAGGGGGTCCTTGATGGGTTTTGAGCTGGGGTGGGGCATGATGTCTGCTTCACATCCTGCCCCCCAACTCCTGAAGTCAGGCAGGCAGAACCCGCCAAATAACCTGCCTTTATTTTGGAAATTTTGATTTTTGAATAGGGAGTGGAATGTAGCTGGCATTAAGATAGGCTCCCAGAGGGGACTGCCTAATGAATGATTCAACGTGGTGTGTGGCTGGGGTGGTTTTTAGTTAGGAAATTGTGTTGATTATTATGAGTCTGTAAATAGACTGATTTATTTACCCAAATAAGAGATGAAAAACCTACTTCAAGCCAATTACCAAAAATAAGTCAAATTTGAAATCACATTTCAACAACAGTTCCCATGACTACCTAATGTACTGGTAAAACCCCACTCTACTAGATATAATAATACTTACTCCCTTTTCCTCTGTCTTTGTTCATAAAGTGACCATCACCTGGCTGAAACTATCATTCAAGGTGAAGGAAGGTGGAAGTAAAACATTAGGAGTTGGGGAACATTAATTGATTGAGTCAACAATTCCAAAACCAACATTGAGACCCTCACCATCAATTTAACATGACCACAAGAATGAAAAGCCTCTACAAAATTTTATATTTGATAGATAGATTCTGCTTAAAGGCAACACTGAAGAAAGGACTACCCAGGGCTCCACCACAAAAGCACCAACTCACCCCAAGAACGACATGCCGCAATGCAGAAATGAGTGGCGGTGTTTCTAGCCGGCTCCTCCTGAGTCCCCGCAGCTGCATGGAGGCCTGTCCCATCCTGCGTGTTCTAAGTCTGTCCTGCAATGGCTCCCCTGTGTGGGAAAATCATCTTCTCGCTGCCTTTCTGGAGAAAGCTCAACGGGCCCAACCACCTAATATCACTGTAGCAGTTCGCATGTGACATACAGGACCAGCTGAACCCCCTGGCCAGCCAGGACGACCTCAGGTACATAGCCCAGCAGATCCACAGCGGAAAGCTGAGTCCTTGAGCCCAGGCAGGGGTCTGGGAGGGGCTCCAGGGATTCCCTTCTGTCCCCAATTCCAGAGTCTGAAGGGAGTGTGAGCCTGGGGAGGCAAAGGGGAAACTGCTCACCTACGTAATATTTCCAGACTTGTGACTATCACTCAGCCTCCGGTAATTTTCTGAACTGTGGTGTCTGCTCTCCTAGTCACACTAAGAGCTGTTGTTTTGTTTTGCTTTGGTTTGTTTGTTTTACAGTTTCTGTTAGTTAGGAAACACAGTTTCCGCTGCCCTGGGTGACCGGGCCTCTCTTCTGTCCCCTGGGCACCTGGTGCTGAGCTATGATTCCTGCAGTCTTCAGGTCTGCCCTCCATGGATGTTATCAGCTCCAAACAGACCTCTTGATTCACAAATAATCGAGAGACAGCAGTGAAAAGAGGATGTCCTGAGACAGTAAGACACAGTAAGCAGAGATCAGCAGAAATGATCAAGAAATGGGAACCTTTGCTCCAGGTTATGTTACATTAAGCACTGTGGTGGGGTTTGGGAGCTCGGTTCTCATTGCATCATATGACCTTCCCCACCAAAAGGACAGAGGCTGCATGTTCTTCCATCATGTGAAATCAGGGGACTGTGTGAGATAGTCTGGGGCTAGAAGAACAGTTCTTTTTTTTGTTTTGTTTTTTAAGATTTTATTGGGGAGTTGGGGAAGGGGAACAGAGAAGTTGCTGTCCTTTTGCTCTTCAGTCTAGTTGTGGAGGACGTTGCTTCACTGGCCCATGTTGGTATTATCATTGCACTCTTCCCGGGTGAGGCAGATCACTCGCTGACCTCTGGACGGCCGCTCACCGCGGCTCTTCGCAGCTCACACCGACTGCCGGCCACACACGGTAGCTTATGGCAGCCCACTACAGCAGGGGCTGCAGCCTACGCTGTCGCCTGTGACTCACGGCAGCCCAGCTCCAGGTCGAGCTGTTGTTCATGCTCTTAGCTGTAGAGGACAGTGTCACTGGCCCCCATGTGAGATCCGAACTGGGGCCCTGCTGCTCAGAGCTGGCGTCCCAAGCCAGCTCTTAACCAACGCGCCACTCAGCCGGCCCTAGAAGAACAGTTCTGAATATTAAACACCACAGGCAATTCTGAGAATTTTAAGAACCAGAAGCTGCCTCTCCAACCTCAGGTGCCACATCTCACCCTGTGGCTAGTTTGTGTGGATCATGTAGGCTTGAAATTAAAATGGAATCCTGAAGTCAGTGACCTTGAAAATGGAGTCTCACACAGTGATTGTGTCAGTCTTTGAACTTCAGTGAAACTACCAGCTAGTCTCCTGGCCCCTCCAGCAACACTCTGAAGTAATTGAATCCACGGATGGGGAAAAGTAAAGGATCAAAGCTCACAATGATAAGATGCTACTGGGTGTTAAAAATGATTTAACCATAATAATAAATTCACTCCTTTGGCACAGCATTTTTTTGCCTTCTGATATTTGTCCAGCAACTCTCTAGATTATAGAGTTTAATACATTTTATTTGGTATCACATTCCTCCTTGCCCTTGAACTTCAGTAGGGAAATAAATGAAGACATAAACATAGACAGGGAGAAAAAAAGAAGGGAAATCTAAATCAAGTGCCCCCCCCCCGCTGTGATTGGCCCCCAACCCCTCCTCCAGTACTGTCACTGTGGCCTGGTAACTAGTCTTTGGATCTTATTCAAATTTCACCAGTTGTCCTTCTGATGTCTTTTTTCTATGTCAGGACCCCACACTGCACTTCATCATTGGTCTCCTTAGGCTCCTCCAATTTGGGATGGTTCGTTTATCAGTGTGTCTTCCATGGCCCTGAAGAGTTGGCAGCGTCTGGGACTGAATTGCTGACAGTGTCCTACCAAATGCCTTATGGTGAACTGGATACTGGCTCTGCCCTCCAGGAATTTTTAATCAAAGGCTCAGTTTTGAAGGAATCACAGAGAGGGCATCTCTAATATTTAAACCAGACCACGGACAGAAAAATATTCCTGGTGCAAACAGGTGCAGAGTTTCAGCTTCCATGTGAGAACAGAGTCCACCTTGAATCACCATTATTTGTAGAACTAGCTCAGAACAGGGAGGGAAGAAAGGCGGGGTAAGTGTTCCAGAAAGGAATTTTTGTCACATTTTTTTTTCTTTCTGACTTTTGCTTTTTAAAGAAATACATGTGACCGGTAAAGGTAAAGTCCCCTCTGACCATCACCTGTAACCTCATTCCTCTCTTCCCCTTCTCAGGGCCAACCATTGTCATGATGGCGTATCTTTCTAGACCAGGGGTCGGCAAACTTTTGAGGTGGAAGAGCCAATCCTGTCCTTCACAACAATTTAAAAATTATTCAAGAACCATAAAACAAATGAAGTCACCATTATGTGAATAATATCCTTTAAAATTTTTATAAATGACACTGTGATAGTTTTATTTTCATTTTCAATTTTACTTCAGAACCACATGTATGTACCCAAAGAGCTGCATTTGGCTCACAAGCCACAGTTTGCCGACCCCTGTTCTAGACCATTTTTATGTATGTGTGTTAAAATTTTACATAACAATATAACATTCTGAATCTTTTTCGGAGAAATTTCAAGCCTTCAGAGAAGTGCAAAATAATACAATGAATCATCATATACTTTACACCTAAATTGACCAATTGTTTACAGTTTGCTACATTTGCTTTATCCCTCTCTTCTCTCTTTATTTACTTATTTACTTTTCAAACAAAATGATGCCCGAGGGCCCCGGTTCAGATCCCACACATGAGGGCCAGTGACACTGCCCTCTACAGCTAAGATGCTGAACAATGGTTCAACCTGGAGCAGGGCTGCCATGAGTCGCCGGCTATAGCTACGGAAGTAGGCTGCCGTCCCTGCTGCAGTGGGTTGCCATAAGCTACCGTGTGTAGCCGGCAGCCAGCATGAGCAGCCAGCAGCTGCCGTGAGTGGCCGTCCAGAAGCCGGTGACTGATCTGCCTTACCCAGGAAGAGTGCAATGATGGTGTCAGCTTGGGCCAGTAAAGCAACATCCTCCACAACTAAACTGAAGAACAAAACAACAGCAACTTGTCTGTTCCCCTTCCCCAGATTCCCCAGTGCTGTTCCCCTCCCCCAACCCCCCAATTACAAACAAAACAAACAAACAAAACAAAAAAAAAACTACAGGATTCCCTGAAATTATACAACTCTTTTTGGCCCCATCTATGTCCAGAGTCCACAGAGGTCTTACTGAACCCTGACAGTGTAACCCCTGAAAAGCCACTCCAAAATGTAGAGCCAGCGCTAGCTATTCCTGCATAAAGAGTGGTTAGATGCCAGCCAGGCTGTGAACCCCAGAGGGCAGTGGGAGAGCTGAGCTTCAAAGCAGAAGGCCTTCATTAAGAGTAAAAAAGATCATTTCAGTTTTGCAAGATGAGAAAAGTTCAGGAGATGGATGGTGGTGATGGCTGCACAGTAATGTGAATGTACTTAATGCCCTTACACTGTGCAGTTAAAATGGTTAAAGTGACAACTTTTATGTTATATCTCTTTATTCACAATTTTTTAAAAAGAAGAGAAACAAGATAAAACTGGAATCTAACACTATCGATGTAACAGGAAAGCCTGCAAAGAACTGTACACGACTACTCACTGTGTTTAGAGCAGCCCAGAAAAGCAGGGGGGATAGAAAAGCAATGATAGATTGCTTTTCAAAAGAATTTAATTTTTGTTATTTCAGAGAAAACCTTTAAAGTGGTTATTATTGGGGGGAGAAGTAAGAATTTTGTTTGGCTTTTGTTTTTATTTACTGTTTAGTTTTGTTTGTTTGTTTCAGTTTGAATTTATACATGGGATGGCCCCATAGTCTTTTCAGGACATTGGATTCCTGAGGACTTAATCAGTCCAAGCTGTTTATGAGGCTGTAAGTGCTCTGATTCATCATTTTCTAGATGTTTGCTGAGCACCTATTACAGGCACCTGCCCCAGGCTCACAACAGGGCACAAAGCAGAGCAGGCCTGGGCTTGCTCAGCGAGGCCGGACACGGAACTTAACTCAGCAGCTGCCTGAGGAATTCGCTCTCGGGGGCTATTTTCAGGGATTATATCTGTGCTTTGGGTCACAACCTGAGGATGAGGTCAGGCTGTATCATAACAAACAAAAGTCACAAGCTGATGAGAGGCCTGAGCCTCAGACCCTCATGCCTAGGACTCAGCAGCTTCCAGACATGGACGGGACAGGAAGAGCAGTGTCTGTCCCAGCCAAACAGCCTGGCCAGAGGGAAGAAAGGGATGTGCCCCAGAAAGGGAATTTCAAGGAGCAGCCAGCAATCTTCCATCTGTACCTCTAGACATGCGGGTGGCGGAGTAGGAAATAACCCAAGGACCACCCCCCTCAGATGGTGGTTGGCTCATGATTGTTGTTTACAAAGCTAACTCTTTGCTCAAAAAAGAGTGAAGACATGTGTGGGCGTGGGGAGGAGGGGCCGAAAAGGAGTTTCACAAATGACAGCAGAAGTCCCCTGGGATTGGGCTGTGCTAGGCTCAGGACGCTTGGTGAAGGCGGCCGTTCAGGCGCTTAAGGCAGTGACTCCAGCCTGTGGGTTTCCAGTCAGGGGTATAGAGAAGAGACCAACACAAGCTCTTGGTAGATGAAGTGTCTTGTCTGTGGAGGAGAGACTGTACCATGACATGACTGCTGCCAGACCCATGAGCTAGATCTGGGTCAGAATGGAGATTACTTCCTGTAATTCCCTACAGAGAAGTCTGATGCACCTCTCTCCTCTGCCCTACAGCATGCTGGCTCCTGGTACAGGCTGTTGGTCTGCCCTGGGCAAGCATGTAAGGCATTTTCCCTTATCTGGGATGAGTCACACTGCAGTACCCCTAGCCATCCTGCCCTGATCTATATAGTTCTTTAGTGCCTGCCAAGAAGCTTGAGGGATATCCACTTTGTCTTGCCACCACCCAAGACACACCATGTAACGTAAA